GGATGTGGGGCTGGCGCCCTACTCCTTTGAGCCACAGGTGCCGCCCATTTCTCTGTATTTTTCACACTATGTTTTGCTGTATGATTTCTGTTTTACTGAGACCCTGTATTCACTGTTAGACTTTGTCTTGTCTCTGAGCCTCAGTTTCCTCATCTATAAAATGGGAATAATAACACCTAACTCACAGAGCTGAGAGTTCAAAACAATCCGTGATTTCTAGTAGCTCCTTTTCAGTAAGTGGGAAGGCAGAGTTGAAACCTGGGTTGGGGGAGGAGACACTGCCCATGTCTCCTGCTCCCTCCCTGCCTCTCCTTGGCAAGGGCAGATCAACCTAAGGGGCTTACTGCTCCCTCTGCAAGAGCCCAGGACCTACCTCTTCTTTTCCGTAGCAAGCCCATTCTCCAGCAGGCCCAGGGCCTTCGGGGACAAGATGCCTTGGAAGTCAGAGTCAGCAGGCACAAAGGTGATCTGAAGAGCAAAGTGGAGACGGCCATGTGCAGCTGACCAAGGCAGGACAGCTGCCCCCTGCCCTCCACATGCCCTTGGCTGCTGTTGTTCCCAGGGCATCAGCAAACCCAGGGAGACAGGCTACACCATGGAGGCCTCCCTACTGGACAGGGGAGGGGACAGCTTAAGGCACAGCATGGTGGAAGGACAGACCTCTGGGATCTTCATTCACCCTGCAAACACTTATTTGAGCACCTGCCGTATGCAGGCACTCTTCTAGCACTAGGGGGCAGCAGTGAGTAAAAGAGACAACCGGGACCTCGGGGCCTCGTATCTTGTCATCTCCCAGAGGCCTCCCTCTGTCAAGTGCCCAGCACATGCCTGGCACCTAGAAGGCACTTCGTCCATATCTGGTGAGTGGAAAGCAGGTCTCCGTACATGTGTTTCCTGGCACAGAGACTGCAGTGGGGGGAAACAGATGGTTGTGGTTGTGCCCACCCGTCCCTGTCCCAGAGCTTTCAGGTATCAAAAGATGTCTGCAAGTCCAGCACTGGGGCTGGGCACCACGTGGTGGCGGGGAGGCAGGGCCTAAAGGAGGCAGTGGGATGGGGGGAAGGGGCCCGCCTTTGGGGTCCGAGAGACTGGTGAGGA